AGACTCCAGCAAACGTACGAGTATAAACTGTGTTAACGCCGATCAACACATTAAAACAAGGGTTAACACCGATCAACGCATTACAGTGAAGGTCGATGTCGGTCAACGCATCGATAATTTCACCAAAATAAGGTTAAGAAAAAATTTTGAGCAAAAGGATGATTCCAAGGAGTTCAATTGCGATTCAGATATGAATTCCTGACGAGGACGGTCAGTTCAACTTCAACTCAACGATAAGAGCTAAGTTCAAATACTTATACACTAACTTTAGTTCAAGATTTCGATAACGGTCAGACGATAAACACAGTACCGGAAGTACTTCATCTATTCGACAAAATACTAAGTAGATTGAAAGCCGAAAAGGTCAAAAGTTGAAGCCATTCATAGGTCCTTCTACGCGATCTCCTCGACAAAATACTGAAGGGATTGAATAGGGCCTATCTTATCCAAAGCATTCCAGACTCCTCTATAAAAGAATGAGTCTGAAATACTTTAGAGGGGGTATCTGTAAGCATCTAAAAATGCACGTAGCTCGAGACGAAGAGAAGATGATAAACGACATCATTCGGGTTAAGAAGGATTACCCGACTGGCCTACACGCTTGTCGGAGCTGGTGGTCCGCATGCTTGTCGGTCAGCTCTAAGTACCTACCTCGCTTGTCGGTCAGGTCCAAGTGTCCGTCGCGCTTGTCGGTCAGCTCTAAGTACCCACCGTGCTTGTTGGTCAGCTCCAAGTGCTCTCACGCTTGTCAGAACTGGTGGCCCGCACGCTTGTCGGTCAGTTCTAAGTGACTGCCATGCTTGTCGGTCAGCTCTAAGTACCCGTCGTGCTTGTCGGTCAGTTTCAAGTGCCCGTCGTGCTTGTCGGTCAGCTTCAAGTGCCGTAAAAAAGCTAACAAGTGTATGAACAAAGTTAACGAAGTGTACAAGTCAACAAGATGATCAAATATATAAAATGACAGAAAGTACAAGTCCGAGAAAGTCTGGAAACACCGAAAAGCTCGGAACTCGCGTGGCGCACGGGTCATCGAACGGTGATCGCGGCCGCACGGGTCACCTCGTGGTGACCCATGATCGCACCGTAGTAACCCATGGCCGTACGGGTCACAGTGGTATGTCTCGCACCCAGAACTGCTCATAACGTCCAAAAACATGTTTTAGGTTGTTTTGATTAGTTTTTTTAGTTTTATAACCTCTCTAACTATTTAGATATCATATCTAAGCGTGGATGAGCCGTTATTGACTGAAGATAAGACCAAATCTCTTATTCTCATCCAAATAATCATATCCGGGGCCCTATAAATACAAGCCTAGGATCTCCTTTCAGAAGGGACGAATTATTATCAAGAGGAGGAGGTGTTGCTGGATTGAAGAGTCAAGGAGCATGAAATTTTAGAGGAGGCTAGCTAGATCCCGACGAACTTTAGCATAAAGAAGGAGTCTTTCGAAGGATCCGAAGCCTGTATCCCCCTTTCCTTAAGATTAAGCTTGGTATTAATCTCGAGAAGAGTACTAATTTCGCTTAGTCGATATCAATATTTTAGCAAATACTTCCTTGGTGAAGTAGGAGCTCTGATCAATACTTCTGCCAACCGGATCCGATCCGTAGGCGGTCCGCGGATAAACCCCGGTACAGGCAAAGATCCCACACAAACAGAGATAATAAATAGGATCTGTGTGTTGTTTGAAAGAAATTGTAATCAGTTATTTCCATTGTATAAAAGTCTTATAAAAAGACTAACTTTTTGTTAAGTTTATTGTAACGCCTGAAATTGTAATAGATTCAATCACAATGAAGAAAATAATTTCTGACACAAATAAGAAAAAAGCTATTTTAAATTATATCCATTTAGATTTTTTGGTATCTTCTCAAGTTACCTTGAAGGGTGATAATTTGAGATATTTGTTTGACCGTTATTGATGACTACTTTAGGACGTTTTGGGTCTATTTTTGAGACATAAAAGATAAAGTGTGACTTTTAAGCATTGAAAGTATTTAATTGAGAAGCAAACTAAAAGGCTAATTAAGAGACATAAAACTAATAAACTAGCATTGAGTTTTATGGAGGAGAGTTTAATGAGTTCTACAAGAAAGAGAAGATCATTTCACACATTGCAATAGAATGGAGTGGCAGAACATATGAACAAAATATTTTTAGAGAAAGTTCATTGTATGTTGTTCAATACATGTTTAAGCAAGGAATACTGGGCAAAAGCGATGAATACGACTTGTTACTTAGTGAATCAATCACCATCTACTGCTATTGTTTGTAAAACTCTAAAAGGGGTTTGATTCGATAAGTCTACAAATTATTCTAATCTTAGAATATTTTTTTTGCTCTGCATAAGAGCATGTCAGTTAGGGGAATCTTAATCAGCCTAGAGCAAAGAAGTGCATATTCCTAGGTTATGCATCAAATGTTAAAGGTTTTAGGCTGTGGTGTCCTGATTCGAAGTCTTCTAAGATTTTTTTTTGTTAATGAATTTTTTTTATTCATTCGAAAGTCTTCTAAGATTATTATCAGCCGTGATGTCACATTTAATGAGTCTGCTATGTTCCGCCAAAAATAGTCACTAGTTTTAGTTGATGATAAGACAACACTACAGAACAGAAAGTGGAGTTAGAAATTCGTAACTTAACTCTTTAGTGGGATAGGACTATAAGAGTTTAGTAGTCAGATCCTATTTAAGTAGATGAAGCACCTCAACAGCTGTAGGAAGAGCAGGAATACACTATTGCTAGAGATAGGTCTATATGAGATATTTGACAACCATGAATGTATGAAGATATACCTGCCTATGCATTGTCAGGTGCCAATTTTGCGCCCTTTAGATATCCAGGAGCTACTTCAGGTGATGACTTCGCCAATAGTTATGGTCGTCATGTAGACAATCAATTTATTGAGGAAGCCTCTTTTAGTAGGCAAGTTCAAGCCAGGCTTGGACTTGATCGATATGTACCGCGCTTGATGCCCTATGGGATTGTTGGAGAAGGTGGAGTAAATTAACTTATTGGAGTATGGAATTATTGGTGTATTTCAGTCAATATGGAGAATGTTTATGGATTCCTCAAATACGCACGATCAAAGTTGACATCTCGGCTCGGTTATGCTTTGACAGAGAGAGTAATATTTTGAGTTGATAACAACATAACATAGAAGTTGATTATGAAAAATGCTATGTAATCGATGTATGATCATAAGTTACCATGAGAAAGGCTGTATGGATAGACTTTTGCCCTATGAATCTCTCCTCTCTCTTTATTATGCTAATAGTGGTGTCTAGTTTTCTTTCGGCACACATCTAATTTCTTAGGCATGTTGTGTCTCTTCTAGAAACGCTCTCATTGCATATCTTAGTCATTTCATCTATATACTTTTGAAATATCCTCAATTTCTTAGCCATCCTCTCTCTCTCTCTCTCTCTTTCTCTAAAGCTTGAAACACCACGAATCTTTTGTTTTGTATATATTAAGTCGATTAAGGTAAGAATTTTCAAACGTCATTTACATTTCTTCCTATATAGTCTAACTCAACTACAAATAAAAACAAATATTAGATACATCAACCGGGGCTTAATTTCCTTATATATAGCTAGCAAGATAAAGACAAACTCAAATAAAGAAGCGTCTTGGAAGAAAAGGACACATTGATGCGATATCAACATTACCCTCTTAGGAAATTGAAGAGATCAATGACGGCATCTAGGTTATAAAATAAAATTATTCAATATGCATATATTCCTCAAGGCTAATAAGTGTACATATATGTTTTCAGTCAGCACCTAAAACAATTATATTGATTACCGACATTGGGAAATGACTGTTTAGAAGTTATAATATATCTTAAAAAGAACTATTCAGTAGTTTATCCTTTTCATCTCTCTCCTATTTTCTTCTTATTGTTTATCCATTAATTTGCTTCTGTGGGGAGACAACAAATGGTGTATGCTGTAGTTAGTTTTCATGGTTGCGAAATTGATGATAAAGAATCATAAATGTTACCAATAGAGTGATAGAATCAAATCAGAAAGCATCCATAAACATAAGGAAACCATACTAAGACCAATTCACAAGTCAATCCATACATAGGCTGCAAAACTTTGGTCTATGCTCAAATAAGTTAACCCTTAATTTGTCACCCCTGATCTAAGTAAGGTCCTAAACTTTGTACCTATCGTTTGACCATTGTGTAAACTTGTACTATGTTTGGTTAAGTATAAACTAAGCCGACATGTACCTATTGAGATTTGCTACTCTCGGGTCTTTCCTTAATAAGTTGCAGAAGCCTAAAAAGTTAAAAAGAAAAATAAAATTTCCCTAAAACAGATGTTAACTGAAAGCATCGTACTTAGTTATAGGCCCACGTGTTGGCGATCCATACGGCTAGCGGCGCTGTCAAAAAGCACTGACACGATTCTATACAACACAATTCATCAAATCCTAAACACACTCGTTTTAATTTCATACCCAAAGTATCACCTCTCTACGAATCATGTGGACCCACATAGAGCTAGGGTCAATGAGCCATCGGTGTGTTTTTGGGTTAACAGAATTCTCCAAATTATTATTTTTTGAACCTAGGACCAGGTAATTATAGTTAGAAATAGCAAAACGAGTGGGAAAAACAGAGAGAAAGGAGAAATTAAAAAAGAAAAGAAAGATAGCGGCGCTGTCAAAAAGCACTGACACGATTCTATACAACACAATTCATCAAATCCTAAACACACTCGTTTTAATTTCATACCCAAAGTATCACCTCTCTACGAATCATGTGGACCCACATAGAGCTAGGGTCAATGAGCCATCGGTGTGTTTTTGGGTTAACAGAATTCTCCAAATTATTATTTTTTGAACCTAGGACCAGGTAATTATAGTTAGAAATAGCAAAACGAGTGGGAAAAACAGAGAGAAAGGAGAAATTAAAAAAGAAAAGAAAAAAAAAAATTAAAAACAAGAAAAAGGTTAGGAGTTCGGAGAAGTGAACCCCTTTTATCTCCCCCCCTTCCTCTTATAAACTCTTTCTAAATCAAGAAAAAAGAGCACTAAGCGTTCCACTAATTTGTGACCACCAGTTTCATTAACAAGGTAATCAGTCCTAAATCTCACTCAGATCCTGATCTAGTTTCTTTTGATATTTTCACGATCAAACTAAGTTCTCCTTGGTTTTGTGTTTTGGATTAGATCTGATGGGGAGAGGGAAGATTGTGATCAGGAGGATTGATAACTCGACGAGTCGACAGGTGACGTTTTCAAAGAGGAGAAATGGATTGCTGAAGAAAGCCAGAGAGCTCGCTATTCTTTGTGATGCCGAGGTTGGACTAATCATCTTCTCGAGCACTGGTCGCCTTCACGAGTTTGCTAGCTCTAGGTATTGTTATATTACCTCTTGCTTTATTATCGCTTTTTTGTTCTCTAGTTAGCTATGGTTCTTATTATCATTTTCTTTCTCTAGCTAGGGTTTTCAGTTTTTGCTTGATATATAGCTAATTGTTTCTCTGAATTTGTTTATTTTTATGTTATGTTTTTGAGATTGCTAGACTATGGTATATACCTTTAGGGATATGCAGGTTAACTTTTATTTCATGGGTTGCTGGATTTTTGATCGATCTAAAGATAGAAAACTCGTTGATTAGCTTTGATTTTTTTGGAGAAAGAATCTAGTTTGGTTTCATATGTATGTTTAAGGTTATCCAGGTTAAATGAGTAATATTAGATCTTTCACATGTGTATCTTTTTCTTGGCTACGGCCCTGTCAAGTACTCAGTTTTACACGGTTACTCAAAATGAGACATGCATGACATGAGATGACTATATATGCACTTGCAAGCATTCCGAAAATATCATTAAAAAGACATAAAATTATAAGATATTTCTACGGATCTATTTTTTTTTTCTCTTCTATATGATTAATCAAAAATGACCCTAAGACCATGCCATACAACTCTTTTCATAAAAGGGGAAGTTATGTTTGAAGTATTTGTGCCTGCAGGTGATTACTTTTCTTCCATATGCTTCAGTGTATTAGTTGATATATGTTTTTAGATAGTTGATGCAGTATTATAAAATTCAAATTGAATTTGAAGTACCCAGCTAGCAAGTGTACTGGAATTGATAGTTCCCCCCAATTCATGTTTTTAGTTACTTTCTTTAATGATTCCTTTTTGTTTGATATTTGCATCAGCTTGCTTTCATAACAGTTGTGCATGACCTGAAAGCATGCAAGTGGTTGTTTCAACAGTTCCATGTTTGATTATATATATGAAATCCATAACATAATCGATCTCTGATAAGCTAGCTAGGGTTTTGCTTGTGAAAAGGAGTGCTCATATTTATATATATTTCTAATAGTAAAAGTTCAATTATTATTGTTTTTACTTTCGGAAGTCCTAACAATATTTACTACTATTTTTTCTGTAAAAGATTATTACTAAAAACCGAACAATTAATCTACAAGGATATAACTCTCTTTACTTTTTTTTTACCTTTCTCTTTGAAATTAATGGGAGTTTTTTGGCATATGAATTTGTTTCAGGTAATTTACGTATAATATGTATTCAGCCCCAATGTTGTCATGAGCTGAGAATTAGAAAGAGTAATGGATTCATATTAGAAGTATAAGCTGGCAAGCAATGGTATTTATTTTCCATAGAACTTAATTACGAGATTGAAAGTGGTAGGGGGCCAGAGTATGTAGAGAGAGCATGTTGATTTACGATAGAGTTACTCGTGCTAGATTGACATGTACTCATTCTAGATATAGGACCAGACTACTGATATAATTCACATAAGACTTTCCCATCTTGGGAGCAAGATAATACAATCTCATGACTTTCCTTTACAATTCGAATAGAAAACTTCAATTTTCCCAAGGGTCTTATACTTGTGTAAGGTGTATTAATTCCTGGTCTGTAACGTGGTTCACAATATTCATGAAGCCTTTTAACTAGGGTGTCCATTAGGGCCCAAGGTCCGGGCCGAGCCTGGTATCCGGCCTGGACTCGGTCGGGCCAGAACTCGGCCCGGGACAGGCCCGGAAAACCCGGGCCAACCGGGCTCCGGGTTGCCTTGGTGAAGCCCGGGCCCGGCCTGGTTTCGACCCGATTATTATATATATAATCTATATTTTTTATATATATTTTATATATATAATTATATTATGATATTGTTATTAATGTATATATGTGTTGTGATTTTGTTGAGGAATGACATAGGGCTTTTATATTATACTACTATATATATAATATATATATATTATATGAGAATACTGGGTAAGCGCTTGCCAAAGCTTTCCCCCGTAGCCTGGCAAGGGCGTTTGGTGAAAAAACGCCGTTGATACCTTGGATCCATGCAAGATTATGAAGATTTATATATTATATTATATATATATGTATTATATATATATATATATATATATATATAGTTTAATATATATATTATAGTACTATATTACTATATATATATAGAGAGGAGAGAGAGGACAGGAATTCTTTAATGTCAATTAAGTGGACCATCATCAAACTTTCTATCCATTGATGATTACCTAGGGATCCCTGAAAGATACCTGCCCGAGACTTTATATATATATATAAAATAATAATACTACCTATATATATATCTTATATATATATTATCTATATATATATTCTACCAAATATAAAAATAATACCTCTTATACTATAATATATATACCAGAAGATGAGACCAAGAAGTTTGGTGGACAAAAGGGCCTTTGTCCACTTAAGTTGCATAAGTCTAATACCCCGCTCTATCTCTCGTCTCTCTCTTCTCTATTATAGTATATTATTATATATATATAATATATATATATATATAGTATATTATATATATATATATATATATATATATATATAGTATATATATATTATATTATATACACACAACCACACAACACACACACACACCACCCACAAATGCACATAATATAATACTATATAATATATAATATCTTATATATATATATATATATATATATATTTATATATTATATATATATTATATATATATATATATATATTATATATATATATATATATTCTCTCTCTCTCTCGCTCCTCTTACATTGTATGATACTAAGGTATAGGAATTAATACTATAATGTAGTTATAAATATATTTATATGTGTATATTATATAATTATAGTTATATAAGTATATATAAGTGCATAAGTATAATTATATATAAGTATATTGCATCTAGTATATATAAAAATACATCATATAAGTAAACTGTATAACTGTACTTAAATAAGAATAATATAAGTATCTAATAAATACATATATAATATATATTTATGTGATTCTCTCTTTCTCTCTCTCTCACACTCAAGTTATAACTTATATTTATATGTGTATATTATAGAATTATAGTTATATAAGTATATGTAAGTGCATAAGTGTAATTATATATAAGTATTGCAACTAGTATATATAAAAGTATATCATATTAGTAAACAATATAAATGTACTTAAATAAGCATAATGCAAGTATGTAACAAATACATATATAACTATGCAATACATATTTATAAACAATTAATATATATTTATGTGATTCTCTCTCTCTCAAGTTATAACTTACAAGTATATACAATATATTTACATATAATATATGTATATATAATATATAGCTATATAATAGTTTGTAAGTATATACCAATGCATACTTATATAAAAATAATAAGATTAATCTAATTTTAGCAAATTTTTACCAAAAAAAGAAAATCATCGGGCCGGCCCGGTGCCCGGCTGCTCGGGCCCGAGCCCGGACCCAGCCCGGGCCAACCAGGTC